TCGGCCAATTAATTTCTTTCTATTTTTAGTAGAGATGGGGTCTCACTTTTGCTCAGGCTGGTTTTGAACTTCTGACCTTGAGCAATCCTCCCGCCTCAGCCTCCCAGAGTGCTAAGATTACAGGGGTGAGCCACCGTGCCCAGCCAGGTATATGTATCTTTAACTTTAATATATTGCCAAACAGTTTCCTAAGTGGTTATAGCCATTTGCATTGCCAGTAGCAACAAAAGAGAGTTCTGGTTGAAGCATGCATTATTTTTATAATCACGGGGGAAAAGGTTACTTCGAGAAATGAGAGACAGCAGGAGAAACCATTTTTATAGACAAATTAAAATTAGCAGGAAATTTAACAATATATAAAATTATATTGTCCCTCACTTAATCTGATTTATAGAGGTAATCGGAGGATGTTCAGCTTGGTGGCTAAGAGATATGGCATTGGAGTCAGACGACCAAACAACAAATCTCAACCCTGCGAATCGCCAGTCGTGTGACCCTCAGCAAATTACTAACCTTCTCTGTCCTTGTCTGCATACTATTCCTCCAAGCAAGTTTTGCCTGCAAATTAGAATAATATCATCACCTCATAGGATTACTGTAAGGATTAATAAAATATGCTTATAAAATCCATAGTATATGCCTGGAATATGGTAAGAGTTCAAATGTTAGCTACTATTGGTATCATTAATAATTATACTATTAGGTGGTAACTGTTAGCATTCTTAGTCTAGATATTTGATAAGGTACCTTTATTAAGAAGCATTTGATAATTTCCCATTCCCATTCTCTCCCCATTTCAACACTGATCAATTCTTATGAAGTTCGTCTCTAATTTCTATGATCATGGCAGTTTTTCCTCTCAAGTGGTCAGATGCTTTGAATGGCTTTTAGACTCAATTTAAGAACCAGTTTGCAAGAGTGTTGCTAAGAGAAAATGCATCTAATTTGCCAAAACCAAATTAACTCCTAATACACATGGGGCTATGTTAAGCAGTAAACAGTTAATAAAAATATAAACACTTTTATTTTCCTTGTCCCATGTGGACTTAAACTTAATTATTAAACTAACATTCACTTGTCCAAACAAAGCACATATAATTAGCACAATTTTAAAAATCATACCATCTTCAAATTACTTAAATTACTTATTAAATCACAGGATGATACAAATTTCCAACTAATTTAAGCCGACAAGTTGGTTTCCTTTTCTATCTATCGTGGGGTCTTTGGACGGCTTTTAAAAATAATTCATATAAAGTCTCAGCAGCATTGGTCATATTTTGAATGAAATGCTAATATTGCAAGACATTTAAAAATTTAATCTCTATGCCAGCCACAGCAAATGTTTCATTATCAATATACTATTATTCTCTATTGAGTCCCAAGGCAAAATCTTGTGAGTGGGTGTGCTTCAAATGCAATCAGTTATTTGACACATTACAATTGAAATAGCTCTGCTTGCTCCATTCTCAATTGCTGGGCAGAATTTCTCATATTGATATCTTTCTGTTGGAGATTTACAAGGAAAAGGTGTTTGTTAGGTCAGACTTGACAATTCATGGTCGAGACAAGAGGCCTTTTTTATGCCCCGGTACCTGGGCTTGGCTTTTTGCGGAGTATGCGCCTCATCCCTGATAGGACAAGGGCCCCCAGTTTCCCTTGCTCCATGCTCAGGCAGCCACGGTCCTTTCTCTGCAGGTGATGTCTCTTGTTGTACGGACCGGACCGCAGTTCTGAGTGCCTCATAACTGGGGCCCCGATGTTAGCAAATCTGGGGTAAGGCAGTCATAGCAAGGTTCCATTCCCTTCCCTTTACCTACCAAAATGTATTTTCCCCAGATCCTGGAGGGACAACTGAGATCACACCACCACCAGGGAGTAACAGCTCAAACATGTATTGACTAAACTAATCTTTGGTGATGTTAGCTTTAGTTGTGGTGTTACCTGAATGTTATGGGTAGTGGGCTGCATTCTGGACAAAAGATCTGGAAGCAGAGGACCCTACCCCCACTGCTTCTTTCCCAAAGAAGCCCCGCCTTCCTTTGCTCTCTTTTATTAATGGACTTTCTGTAGAGATCTTCCAGACAGTTCTCATTCCAGCTGATCTTCAGGAAATACTTAGAGGTGGGGGAGGCACTTCTTTCAAATCACCTCTCCGAAGACAGGTTTCTGATCTGATTCAAGGCCATGTCCTGGGCATCTGGTTTCTGTAGCTCACAGAATTACTGCTCCTGATAAATTGCTCTGAGTTCTGAGGCTACTGCTGTCATATTGCATTCTCTGACCATACCCCAGGTCTCCCAAATCACATTTAGACACACACACACACGCACACACACACACACACACCTCGTTAGACTCCATTCCCACGTAGTATCCAAGTGAGTTTCATGGCAAACACACTGGAGAGAGCTGGGCCGGCACAGACCTGAAGCATGCAGTCAAGGCTGCAGATGGTGCATTGAGTGAAAGCTTGGGGGTCCTGAGTGAGGGATGGAGGTTGGGGTCACAGCTCCACACCTCAGCACCTTCTCACAGAGTGCTGCCAGCGGCAGCCAGGCCTGAGGGTGGAAGTAAGGGGAGACACATTTTAAACTGGGGTGTGGGGTGGGAGGGAGGGAATGGTGAGCCCCCCATCCCTGGATAAGTACAAGCCAAGGTTGCAGGCCCACCTGATAGGAACACCATAAAAAGAAATTAAACCTCAAATGGGTAGTTGAATTGGAACAACTGAAAAGAGAACAGAGAAGAACGAGGAGGAGGAAATGGAATAATAAAATTTAAAAGGAGATAGGAAGGCAGGCCAGAGGCTGAGGACCATTCCAAACATTTGGACAGAAGCTGGAGAGCTCCTTAGAGGGCTGGCATCTCAGTGGGCAGGCAGCAGCATCCCAACACTCTGGCCCTGACCTCGAGCACCCACTCCTTCCTGTCCTTTGGGCTGAGCCTGTAGGCCTGGCTTTGCCCAGGGAGCACAAGGTCTAGCTGAGCAGTATTTGCTCATCCATTAGGAAGCTGGGCCCTGGACAAAGAAGGGGCAGAATTCTCAGCTCCTCTGCGCCTTCCCTAGTGGGCACTCGGTACCTTAGGGGGTCTCCAGGAGGACCCCCAATCCTTAGGACAGGGACGGACAGGAAGGAGCACTTTTCTGCACTGGAGACCCATGACTAGAGGATTGGGTTGGACCAAAACCATTGAGCACTCAGTGGCCCAGCCAGGCCTATTCCCAGATGCAGTCATGTGGGTGGAGTCCTGAACCAATCCTAGGAATTGAGCCAGTCCCTGCCCCCTGCTCAAAAGCAGGGTTTGCAGGTAGAACAAAGCAGCCGTCTTCATAACAGATGATACTCCTGAGCTGTGTCCCAGGCAGTGGGGTGGGATGCAGCAGCAGGGCTTGAGTGGTGACCAGGAGCAGGGCTCTCAGGCTGTGGCCCTCAGAAGGGAATTTTTCTCTGCAGGAGCTTTGCTGGTCTGGGAAAGGAACCTGGGCTCAGGCTGCTGGAAGTGTCACAGCCACCACCTGTGCGAGGAGACAGGCCTGGGGCTAGGGTGGAGCCCTGGGCATCTGGACTTGGGCCTGTTCCCCAGCCTGGACTGGTCTACTTAGGGAGACCTGATACCCACAGAGGGTGAAAGAGGAGAGGTTGGAAGCAGGAAGAAGGGTGGGGAGGAGTGGACTCTGGACACTGTCTGCTCCTGTCTGTTCCTTTCCTCTTCCACCCCACTCTTCCCATCCCGCATGGGGGGATTCTCCGGAAACACATAGGCGCCTGGCCCAGCACTTCAGCTCGGCTCCCGGCTCCCTCTGTCTCCTGTTCCCCAGCGAGAAGCCCCATTTCAAGGACTGAAATGAGTGTGCTTTCAATCCTGATTCCACATGTGCACCCACCTTAGCCCACCCCAACAGCTGCCACCCCCCGAAACATGCTTGGCTCCCACGTTAATCGTGCCAGCTTGTTCTGAAGAATCCACTTTTCCAGTTCCCCCTGTTCTCCTCCAGGTCATTTACTGCTCTGTAGCTGGTGTTATTTGACTTGTGCAAGCCACAGCAGCCTTGCTCCTATGACTCCCGCCCCACTGGCTTCTGAGAGAGCTGAGAGGCTGATGCTGAGACTCAGAAACTAGGCAGTTAGGACACCGCACAGCCACACCCCGTCACCACGACATTCCCAGCCCGAAGAGGATGGTGTACACACTCAAGTGCAAATGTGCGAGCACACACACTCCCGGAGCTCCCAGTTCGGTGTCTGCACGCGCCCACCCCCCCCTTCTTATGACCTCTCCCCACTGCCTTCCAGCCCCCACCCATGTGGATTCCTCACCCCACCCCGAAGTTGGAGGCCCCCAAAGCAGGGCTTGTGCAAACACCTCACGAAATGACAGGACAATCAGACAAACACGGAATCACACGAAGGATCCCGACAGGAGGCTCCTAGGGGTTCCTTCCTTCTGTGGTTTCCTCCTTCGCCCCTCGGCCCCCTCTCTGTCCTCCGACAAAAAGCCACGGAGCCCAGCTGAAATCGATGCTTTATTGACAGTTTACATACGGACGAGTTTAGAAAAGGGCACGGTTCCGGGGCGGGGGCTACTCCGCCCCGGCCGCGCTTGTGCTGCGCTTCCCAAGAGGGCTGGTCCCGAGGACCGCACCTCCCCCCACCCAACCCCGACGCTTCCCTTCGAAACGAAGAAAGGGCCCGGCCCGCGTCGCCGGCCGCCTCCCCCCACCCCCCTACACGGTCACACTACAGAACACAGACTTTTCTCCTACACAGCTCGTCTAGACTACAGGCCGGCAAACACCGCGCTCGCGGAAGGGGCGGGAGACGCGAGGGCGCGGGGCTCCGCCGGGTCGGGTCCCTGCGCAGTCCCGCGCAGCCTCGGGCCTCCGCGCCGGCCCACGTCGGCCTCCGCGCGGCGCTTTCCCGCCGGGCTGGGCGCGGGCCGGCGCCGCGGGGCGGGCCATCTCGGAAACCCGCACGCTGCCCACGAGACTGGCCGGACGAGCCGGGCCTCCGCCGAGCCGGGGCGCGGCCCCGCGCGCTCAGCGTGAGGGCGAGACGGGTCGGGTGCGCTCCGCGCCGCCGACGCTCGCCCCGCTTTCCCGCAGGCTGGGACGGAGGTGTTAGCACCAGACCCGGAATGTCGCTGTCTTTGAAAACAACGAAAATGTGAAAACCTGGCGCGGGGCTGACAGGCGCCCCAGGCACCCGGCTCGGCGGGACAGAGGATTCGGTTCCCGCGGGCTTTGAGCTAAAGCCTAGGGGTTGCGGGCTTCTGGGACATGCAGCCCTGAACGGGCGGAGTAGGGGGTCGAGGCCGGACCCCACAGCGCTCCACCCCAGGGACACCCACCGGCGGTTCGGGGCCCTCCCCCCAGGTTCCCAACGTCTTCTTCGCCGTTTCGCTGGCTTCGAGGACAATCGCGACGGGAGTGGAGGGCACAGATTCCGCTCCGCCGCAGGGGTGTCCTCAGTGGGGCAGGGGCGGGACACTGCCGGAGAGGAGGACGACAGCCGTGGGCGGCGGGGGTAAAGTCGGCCCCTCCTGCTGGAAGCCCCTAGTAGTCAAGAATGGGGAGCGGTAGGGGCGGAGTGAGGGAGGGGGTAAGTCCTGTCGGCCTAGGCTTCTGCTCTCAGGCACCCAGGTGGGGTTGGGAATGGGCTGGCGCCCGAGGGTCAGCCGGCCGTCTGCCGGTAGTTGCCGTTAATCTCCTGCGCGATGTTGACAGCCTCCGCGCCCAGGGGCAGCCGGTCGCTGTACTCGGAGCCCGCCTCGAACTCCTCCTGGTTGGCCTTGGACTGGGACTCCGCCAGTGAGCAGGCTGCCAGGCTCTCCTCCCTCTGCAGGCCTCCAGTGGGGGCCGCCTGCTCCGCGTCCTCGTCAAGGCCCTCCCCCGGGGTCTCCTCTGGCTCCTCGCCGCCCGCCTCACCGCCGGCCGGGTAGCTTTTCTCCGACTCGAGGTAGGAGGCACGCGGGTCGAAGTCGGCGGCGATGCGCTTCTCCATGGGGTCCGGGGCCTGAGGCCGCAGGATGAGCCGGTACGGCTTGCCGGGGTGCTTGGCCAGCAGGTGACAGCAGGCGGCGCCCAGCAGGGGCACGGTGGCCAGCACCAGCAGGAATACGCTCACCGCCACGATGACCAGCAGCGACGGTAGCTCCTTCTTGGTGGCAAACACCACCTGCACGTGGCAGGCCTCGCCCGCCAGCGCCAGACACACGGAGTAGTTGGTGCCCGGCCGCAGGCCCCGGAACCAGTAGGCGTTGACGCCCTCCTCCACCCGGGACCACTGCACTGCCGCCCCGCCCCCCGCGGGGCACAGGTACAGCAGGCGCAGGGGCCGTCGCCCAGGCCGCCCGGGGCCCCCAGCCCCGCCGGGCCCGGGGCCCCAGCGCGTCGCGAGCGGTGTCAGCTGCACCCGCGCCTCGCGCTCCGCTACGTCCAGCGCGATGACACCCAGCTCGAAGACGTGCGGCTTGAGCTCTGTGCTCTGGTTAAATGCGTGGTTGGACACGTACTGAGAGGGGTCCCCGTGGCCACAGTGCTGCTTCTCCGCCGGGTCTTCAGGAATCTGGTCTTCGGCCTCCTCTCCCTCAACTGCCTCCTCCTCCGGCTCCGCCTCCCGCTCTCCGAGGATGCTGACCCTGGCCAGGCCTGGGCCTTTGATTTTGCCCTGGGGTTTGGAGGGCAGGACGCTGTTGCCTCGGGTCTTGGCTGCGGACTTGCGCTCAGAGGTCGGGACCTGCCCATCGGGGTCTCCCCCCGCGCCAGGCGCATGCTTTGGGGGGCCGGCTGCTGCCACCGCTACGCGTACTGATGTGGAGTTGGCGCCCAGCTCATTGTATGCACTGCATGTGTAGACGCCGGCCTCCTTGGCGCTTAAGAGCGGCACCAACAGGGAGCCATTTGCAAGGGCCAGGAAGCGGGGGGTGGCTGGGGGCGCCGGCCAAGCGGGTGCGGGAGTCGGGGTTGGCGCTTCGGTCTGCGTCGTCACGTCCCCGTCTCCTTTCCCCTCCCCCTCCTCCGCCCTGTCCCCATCGACCTCCCCGCTGGGCACCGGCGGCTGCAAGACTACGGTGCCACCCGGAATCTGGAGTTGCCACTGCAAGCGAGGAGTAGGATGGCCGTCGGCTAAGCAGTGCAACAGGAAGGCCAAGCCAGCGCGCAGGGGGGCGCCGGGCGTCTCGGGCTGCGGCTCGGCGCTCAGACGCACGCTGGGCGGTGCGCAGGGCAGGGCGGGCAAGCGGAGCACCAGCACCCCCTGCAGCGCGGGAGGCGAGGCGCACGCAATGGAGTCCGGCTCGGGTAGGGCGACCCGGGTGCTCGCAGCCCAGGCCTGCAGCCACACAAGGCCGCATCCGCAGTGGAAGGGATTGTGATAGAGTTGCAGGTGTGACAGCGCGCTGAGCGCGTCAAAGGTGCCGGGCTCCAGAGTACGCAGCCGGTTGTTGTTGATGCGCAGCGAGCGCAAGTCGGACAGCGCGCCGAGTGCATCCCGGGGCAGCGAGCCCAGGCGGTTGTGGTTCATTTTGAGCAGCTGCAGCGCGCTCAGGTTACGCAGGTCGCTCCACGGGAAGCTGGATATGAGGTTGTGGCTCAGGTCGAGGTTCTTAAGCTGGCTCAGCACGGCCAGTGAACCTGACTCCACGGAGCGCACTTCATTGTGTGCCAGCCAAAGTGATGTGACCTGCGTGACGTCGGTGAAGGCGCCGCGCCGTAGCACGGTGATCTTGTTGGCCGACAGACTAAGCGTGGTCACATTGGCCGGCAGTCCTTCAGGCACCTCGCGCAACTCCTTGTAGGCGCAGTCCGCGAACTGGTGAGCGTACTTGTCCACGCAGGCGCAGGGCTCCGGGCACGCTCCGGCCACTCCTAGCAGCGCCAAGGCCAACCACAGGGCCCAAAGTGGTGCCATCGTGGCTCCTGCAGACGGAAGCCGGAGGGGGGGAGAGGGGAGAAGGTGATTCACAGAGCCCCAGGCGCCTTCACCTATCAAGGACAGCCTCTGCAAACCAGTCTAGCTCAGGTCCCAGGGCTCCTCTATGCCCAGTAACCTCCTCTATGCCAGGATCCTCTCTTGGGCAGGAGTGCCAGGAGGTCAATAACAGTCTCCAAGTTCAATGGATGCTCCCTCTCACGCCCTGACTTTCTGCCAGTGTCGGGTTACATCGCTCCTTGTCCCCTACCTATCCCCTCACCAGGGAGCTGGCCCCTCCAGACTCCACTGCTTGCCGGTGTGCAAGCCCTCTGCACTGAGCCCCTCTTGGTGTTTCCAAGCCTTCGTTTAACCCGGTGAAAAGGATACACAGAAAGGATATTTTTGTCCATGACTGGCCGTCCTCCCTGGAACCCTTTGTCCCACACGCAGCACTCACACACATGCGTGCAGGCGCACAACAATACAAACAGACGCTGGGGCTTCGCCATCAAACTGCCAACTTCTGCAGGGGTTTGGAGGACCCAATTCTCTATCAGGGGCTTCACAACACACTTCGTAGACACACAAACACATAGCCCCCCAGACACGGATGCAATATACCCTGGAGACCTCTTTGTTCTCTCAACCGAACCCAGCATCTGTAAAGTGTTTTTCACCCTGGTACAAAGTGCTTTCCCATCCATTGTGAGAATTGAAAGACACAAGGACACAAGTTCTCACACGAACTGATCCACACACAGGAACACAGGAGCGCACTTGTGCCTGCACACAGCCCTCCTCTTCTGGGATCGAACCGAGCAGATAAGCAATACCGACAACTTGCCCCAGTGGCTTGAGGCAGGATCTGGGGGAGCGGACCTCCATGCTCTTCTCGGGCTATACCCTAAGTCGCCTGCCCTCGGCTGCCTGGCCAGCCTTCCGCACGGGGAGGGAGGTCCTCCTCCATGTCTTGGCCAGGTGCGCTCAAAGAACTGTCACTAAAGCTTCCAGCTGGGGTCAGAGGGCCTAGGCAGCTGGGGGGAAGGGCAGGGTTGGTTAGAGGAGCCCCCAGCCAACAAGTCATGGGTGGGGGTTGCTACTCGCTAATGAGGCTAGAGAAAATTCAAGATTCATGCCTTTCTCCACTGCTCCACCATGCCTGAGGGCCCCCCATAAAACCTTATCCCCAGTCACACAAAGGCACTTACACAGACTCCACCTCCACCTGGGGCTGCCTCAGGTTTGGCGGAGCCCCTCCCACACCCTATCTTTGGGAGCCCCTTTCCCCCTCCAGTGGGAAGACCCCTCCCCTCCGGGTTGCTCCCAGATGGCACCCTCCATTTTGGCGCCCTAGGCTGGACCTACCCCCACTAGAGTCGAGGTTGTGGGGCGGTTCCTGCTGCTTACCGGCTGTTCACTGACTCCCGGTACGCCCTCCTTGGGCTGCAACGCCTTGTCCAGACTCAGTGTGTGGGAGCAGGGACCACAGTCCAAGGACGCTTCCAGCATCTGTTGCTGCGGCTGTGAGGAAAACCGAGGAGGGGCAGAGAAAGGAACAGGCGAGTTTGGGGACTCCCTGGTCCCGAAGTCACACTTCTGTTTTTCCTTTTGCCTCTGTTCTGCACGCCCCCACCCCTTGCCTCCCAGCTCTAGGGATGCAGGTTGGAGAGAATCCTGGCGCGCTCCCGGCTTGGCGGGCACGCGCTCAGCCTCTCCCACTTCCTGCATCTCTACATTTGTTAAAGCCATACAGACCCTCCCTGAGGTCGAGGCGTCGGTCACAAGGGCGGTGGGTCCCACACCCACTGTCCTCAGCTGGGCTCTTCCCAGCCCACTGCACCCCCATAACCCACGTCCCCTATATTTACACACCCGCTGACATTGTCACTATCCCACATCTCACTGGCCCCTCATGTTCAAACACATTCGCACACACAGACCCTCCACAGTGGACCTGCACACGTTAGAATTATCCATCGTCATGTACTAATCTCGCCAATGTGCTGTGCTCGCGCCACCTTCGCACACATTTTCACAGGCACACCGTCACCCGGGACACTCGCCGTTCGCCCTCTTGCATGCACACACATTCACGCGCACTCACCCTCACGCGCCAGTCCCGCCAGCGCCCGTGAGCTCCGCTGCTAACCGAATGCGATCCGCTCTTACGCCCCGCAACACGTGAGACAAACCATCTTTGAGGAATTTGGGGGAAGGGAAGGCGCGCGGCTGAAGGGGGGAGGCGCGTCTTTGCCTTTAAACTCTTTCTGCAAACGCAGGCGGTGGCGCAGACTCGAGCGGGACCCGCCGGAGCTGCGCGCAGCCGGGCTCTCGCGGACCCTTCCCTCCCGCGCCCCTGCTAGCGCCTCCTCCCCGAAGCCTCGTTCAACACGATGCATAATTGATAGTGTTAGCAGAGCGCCTCACCCTCCCTACCATTTTTGCCTGGATCTGGGCTGACACAAGCCCTGTTCTCCCCCGCCCCCCGCCAGTCTAACCCAGGGACGAGAACGCGCGGCCCTGCAGGGAGCGCGGGGAAGGGACGCCCCCTCCCTACCCCACCGCCGCCCCTGCCCAGCCTCTCGAGCTGGAACTCTTTTATGTCTCGTCTTTTGTGGCTAAACCAGGGCCAGAAGCCCACTCCTTAATGCGCTGGCCCGTGCGCGCCGCAGAGTGGGGTGGGGCGGGGGGAGCTGGCCCGAGCGCGCCCAAGCTCCTCACTCTCAGGTCTTGCCAGCTCCGGGCGATGGGGCACCGAGGCTGCAGCCGACGGTGGCACGGACAGGGATGGTTACAACCGGCTGCTCCCCTCGAGCTTGAGCACCGCGGGCTGGGACTTAAGGCCGGGCGTTTCTTCTCTCCCCCCAGTATCTTTACAGCCTCGCAAACACACCAGCAACGCCCCCCCCCACACGCTATCCTTCAAAGCCTGGTGGCCCGCCACCGCCCCCCGTCTCACACCCTCGCACAACAGCCGGCCGCAGCAGACTCGCTGCTCGCGACTCTCGCTCCCTATCTCTGACGAAACCCCGACATTTCTTTTAGTGACAAGGGGGCGGAGGCAGGGGGATATCGAGGCATTTGGCTAAAACCCAATTTCCTCCCTCCCCCCCTGCACTGCCTCGGGCAGCCCGGGAGAAAGAGCTGCCGGCCCGAACCCGAAAAGGGGACCGGGCCCTGGGAGACACGCCGAACCCCCATGCCTCCCGCCCTTTCGGGAACACAGCTCTCTGGGCGCACGTGGTCCCCGGCCTCACCCGGGCTGTGGGGATCTCTCACGGTGGGTCGATGGCGCAGGTTTGGGGCTTTTGTGGAGATCAATACCACTATTTGAGTGCTGAACATTTTAATGAGCTGGGGGGGGGCGAAGAGAGGGAGACTGGCGAGGTGCGCAGCATCTAAAGAGACCACCCGGCCGGTCCCGAGGCTCCTTTGTAAATTAAACATGAACAGACGGGTGCACGCACGCGCCGCGTCCCTGCCTCTCTCCTACTCCTGCCGTCGCTACACGCGGCTCAGCAGAGTTCCGAACCCAGAACTTCACTCTGCCTGCTCAGGTCTGGGTGCCCGGCCCAGGGGGAGGGTGCCCCTTGGGGGAAGGTGACTTTGAGAAGGGCCATAGGGTAAGGGCTCTGTGACCCGGACCCAGCGTGACACAGCGGAGAGCGGGTCCCTAAGGTTTTTAGGGCTTTCTGGGCCCTGGAGTGACGCAGGCGGCTGGACTGGCAGGGCTTTCTTTGTCTACCAAGCGAAGGGTGGGGGCGTCCTGGGCCTGCCGTCCGCGTCTCAGGAACCCTGAGGTCCGGGGAGCCTTGGCCTGGAAAGAGGGATCCGAGAAAGTGGGGCTCCAGTAGCGGGGACTTAGAGTCCAATCCCGGATGGGAGGCCCAGAGACTTCTCGGGCCGCAGGAGGGGCGCCAGGCACGGAGGCAGAGAGAGGTTCCGGCATGGAGCTCAAGGCTTGTGGACCCTCCCCTCCGTTTTCACCTCTTTTCCAGTTCTTTTTGCCTTCCGCTGGGACGCGCCGGCAGGCTTGGGGGGTGGGGGGACAACTGGGAAGGGACGAGGGACTGGAGGACAGAGTCTGGGGAGTGTAAGGGAGAATGGGCCCGCTAGCTAACTGCCCAGAGTTTCCCTGGACTGCAGAGACCGTCTCTGCAAGCCACCCGTAACCCCTGGGGACCCGCGGACCAAGAAAGACCCCTTTTCCTTGCTTTCTTGAAGGCGTTGCAGAAGCCGGGGATTCGGCCAAGAGACAGGGCTCCAGGAGCCTGGAGGGCGGCTGAGGGCGCGGTGGCCCCGGCGGCGCTGGCACAGTCTCCAGCAAACGCTTTTGTTCGCCGAGCCTACCCTGGGGGAACGACGCCCCTTACTCCGCCTTTGACGGAGCCCCAGTGCCCGCCTCGGCAGGCTGGAGCCCGAGTCGCCCGGGCAGAGTCCGCGGAGGCCGGGGCGGGAGCTCGGCGGAGGACGGCGCGCCGCGTCCGAGCCGCCTGGCGCGCGAGGCCGGTCTCGCGGCTAGCGTTCGCGACGACGCCCCGCTGGGGCTGGGAGCCTGGAGCGGGCGCCCGCGCGGCCGGGGCTTTGATCTTTAAAGAAACAGGCTCCAGTCGGTGTGTGGGAGTAGGGCCGGGCGGGCGGGGCACAGGGTTCCAAGCCGAGAGCGCGGAGGGCCCCACGTTCCGAACCCGCCGACCCGAACCAAGGCTTTGTAGCAGGGCGGTCGCGAGCCCAGGCAGACCCGGGAGCCGGGACTGGAGCCCCTGGCCGCTTTTTGTAGACCGAACTCTAACTTCAACATCGCGGACCCGGGAGGGGGCCGTGGAGGGATTGAACCCCGCCGCATCCCGGACTTGCTCCCCGCGGCCGGTTCGGATCGGGGCCGGGCTGGTCCGCGCGCGCCCCCTGCTGGACACCGCCCGCCGGCGCAGAGGCGGGCAATGGCGGCGGGTGCGGGGCGAGCCAGTTCCCTGGGTCGCGCTTAACAGAGGCCCCGCGGCCTGCCTTCCCGAGCCCGCCTAGCCCGCGTCCCGGGAATCTGCACCTTCCCCTCCCCGGCTCAGGTGCCGCCCCTGCTTCGCGTCCCACAGTGTTGCCAGCGCCTCCTCGAGCGACTGGTGCCTGGCACGCACCCTGAGCTCTGCGCTGCCGGGACAGGGGTCCCTGTGCACCTCGCCACCTGCGCCACGCGGCCGAGCACCTCCTCCGAGGCCCAGGAAGCCGCTGAGAGCGAGGGGCAAAGAAAACGGAAACGCCGGGAATAACAGATGTTTGACCGAATGTTTAGGACAGGTAACACTGCGCGGCCGCAACTGCGTTTAGAGCCGTATGTGCCTGTGTATTTGAATGTGGCACGTGCATGGTTTAAGGGGCTTGCCTCTGAGCAGGAAAGCCGCGGCGGGCGGGCATCAAACACCCCCAGCTCTGCAGCCTGCGCCGCCGCAGGCCTTCCGCGCCGCTGCCCTCCAGCCAGAAGCTCTTGAAAAGCTCGCTGCTTCCCACTCTCAGCTTCCGCAGCGCACACAGCGCGTACACGCGCACGGCTCCCCTTTTCTACTTTCCTTTTCTAATTTCCAGCCAAAAGATCACCCCTCAGGGGAGCCAGGCCCCGTTTATGCTCCCCCAGCCCCCAGCTCTCCTTCTCGTGCACTCTGTGCAGTGGTTAGGAGGACAGGTTCTAGCATCAGACTCCATCAGCTACTAGCTATGTGACCTTGGCCAAGTTACTTAACCTCTCTGTGCCTCAGGATAAAAAGAGTACCTATGGTTTTGGGTCACTGGGAGGATTAATGAAGTCAATGTATACAAAGCACTTAGAACCTGGCACTCGGTGCTCAGTAAATGAACTATTATTTTTTTCAGCAATAGCTGAATAGAATTAGCCATTATTATTGCCTTATAGAGTTGGGTACAGGCATAAGATGTTCTGCTGCACGCACCTCTACAGGGTTGTATCCTACCTTCCCCCCAGGGGAGGATCTTGGCTGTGGGCCCAGCCCTTTCTCTTCACCACCACCCCATCCACACACACAATGGGGCTAGGTAGTCATCAGAATGACTATTGTTATTTGTAGAGGTTTCTATATTCAGATACTTCAATCCAAACTCTGATGCTGTGGCTGTCCCCAGCGTGCCTGTCTGAGAAGAGAGACCTGCAGCTGCAGACTTGGTGGACAGTTTTTAATTAAAATCACATTCTGGTTAAATATTTATTGGGCAATGTGACTTTATTTTCTAGGGAAAGACAAAAATCCACATTTGCCTACAGGAAGACTGTTGATTTCAGAGGAAAGGAGCAACCTGTGGCAGTTTGCTGGAGGCCACCAGGAGGACTTTCCTGAATGGCTCACATGAAGCTCTCTATATTATTAAGAATCTGGGACCCAGCCCATGACCTTCCTCCCAGTGCCCTCACGAAATTAGCTTAACATGCTGGCAAGGCCTTTTATTGCCATCGAAATTAACAACAGCTCTTCCAGTGGCAGCTCATGTAATTTCCCGGGTTTGTGCTTGTCTCCCTGAAGGCGGCAACTCCGGCCTGGGAGAGGCAGCATGCCTGCATGCAGGGGCAGGTGCTGGCAATCCGCCCCAGCCCAGGCAGCACGGGTCCCCCCAGAGGATCCCAAGGCAGTCAGCCCTTTCATAGCAGGACTTACTGTGCTAAAGGCTGGGACAGGGTGACACTGGGGGTCATGAATGATGTTTCCATCTGCAAATAACAAGATTCCCACCTCAAAGGGCGGAAGCTATGAAGCGTGCTGTCTCACAAAGCAGGAAGCAAGGCTGGCCTCAGGCCGCGCATTCGGCAGCTCATTGCCATCAGCAGTCCCAGGTCCTTCCGGCTCTCTCCTCTGCCACCTTGACAGGGCGTCAGCCTACAGCTCGAGTCCCTTGGTGCCACTGGAGGACTTCAGCAGCAGCTGGGATA